AATTAAATAATTTCACTTCTAGTCATAAAATAGTGAAACAACTTTCATAGAAGTGAAATAAGTCTAGTAGAAAGACCAAGGAGGGATGGGGATGACAGAAACCGATAGACATAACAGTAGAGTGTACATTGAGCTGACGCGCAAGATTAAATGATATAAATTAACGATTATATGAAGTAAAACAGAAACTTTTGTGACCAAGTTAATTAGACGAATTAAACCGATCCACGTGCATGTAATGATTAATGCGCCCGAAACCTATTTAATTTTCCCCCAACATAGAAGGAAACTGATACACAAATTAAATGCAAAATAAAATTGACCAAACCGCAGTACTCTTAATGAAACTGCATGCTAAGTAAGTGAAAATATTTCACAAGGTTTTTTGACCCATATTTTTTCACGCACTGTTTTTTTTTTTAATCCACACCGTTAATTTTCCAGAAACCGTAACCTTTGGTGAACAATTTTGACAAGATTATCATGTCGAAACTGAGCTCGGAGCTAAAAACCATGGATATCCTGAGATAAAATGGCAAAAAGTCTTGGTTCACTTTAACTTACCTGGATATTTGGTCTTTTCCTTCCCTTCCCACTCCCCGATACAAGGTTGAGTTTGATTTTGAGGCCAAATTCTAGTCCTCGTTTGGTGGATGATGGTTTTTGCAAAAATGAGTGGGGAGGGGGGGGGGAGGATAGATGATGAGTTCGATGGTGTTTTACTGCTCACTGTGGATTTCTTTTCTCCACCGATTGTATATTTCCAGCTGGTGGATTTCTGCTTGAGACAGGTACGAGCCCTCGACTCACTTGTGTGGATGTTACAGTAGTAAATAAAGATTTATGTTGGTTGGTACTTACAGGTTGTGGAGATATCGAACAGTCCTGAAAACTCCTGGGGGTAAGTCCTCTAATTTATTATGGGATAAGTCCCTGTCAAAAAGAAATCATCACATCAGAAAGTTAGAAATGCGCAGTAAGATAAAGCTTTGAGCTTGCCCCACCTCCCACTTCTATTAAGCGCTCTCATTCCAATAAGCGCCCCTTTTCTCAGCCGAAATCTTCAATTAGCGCAGAATGTGGACAAGTCAGCTTTAGGCTTTCCTAGAACAAATCTTAGCCAAAAACAAGATAATATTTGTAATTCACGCTTTCCAAACTCTTAAAAGAAAACTGCGATAGGATTGAGACAATTTGAACTAACTACTTGCTTGCAACTTCGTGTTTATATCATCACAAATACCACATCATGCCATGGACACCTGGACAGGCTATATGAGTTAAATGTTCGTCATTTTTATGCAAAGTTTACCATCGGACAGAATGTGTGGACGTCAATAATTATTCATTAACGATAAAGTGGCAAATTTGAACGTGAAGAGTCCTAAATTAGAGAAGAATGGGTCAAAATCAGCACACAAGAGTTCGTAAAACTCATTCTTGCAAGTTTTAGAATTGTTTGCTTGTCAATCAGCGCATGGCTTTTTTGAGACTACAGATGTATCTACAATTTTACATCTAAAATAAACGATTTCATTCAAGCAGAAGCATTGTCATTTTGCTCTTGAAAATACACTAAACACGGGCATTTTTAGTGAGAAAGTCATTTTCAAGAGCGATTTTCTGAAAAACCTTACTACCCTCGAAAAATCAGCGCACGGCAAATGACAGACTGATGAATCTTTAATCCAAAAGAATCTGTTTTAATTTTTAAAATTGGCCAGAGGGAACCTTTATCCACTTCAGTTTGAAGACGTTTAGTCAAAATTGCGCTCAAAACTAGTGCGTTTTGACAGTGGGTATTCTGCCCAATGATAGCCAGTAAAGAAAATAAAGCAATTTTTAGCATGAAAGAGTAAAAAAGTAGCCTCTAAAGTAACTTGAAAATACGATTCGTTCCACAGAAATAAAAGTAAGCCGTTCACGAGGCACCCTAATCACACGCAAAGAAACACGGCATATTTAGCAGTCCCACAATAGAGATTCGAAATGGTGTTTACGTCAGCGGTCAAAAGTTAGAAAACTAAACCTTTCAAAGAAGAACGACTCTAACGTCAACCGTAAATAAGCAGCTAATCAGTGATTGCGGCCAGATATATCATATTCGAAACTTTGAGCATTGTACTTTTCAACGTGAACTCTCAAAATATAGCATTATGCCTAAAGCCACCAACAGGTAATAATAACAAGGTGTTTAAAGCGGCTTATTGCAACTTCGCAAAAAAAATTACCATTTTATTGGACCAAATTCTTAGTCTTCACGTATTTTTGTCTTATTGAGTGCGTGAGGCAGTAGTGGTACCGGCCGCGGAAGGAGAGATCGAAATTAAATCATTTACATTGAAAGCAAACATACAAGCAATATGGCGGACCAAAACGAACCTCGTGCGTTTAAATATTCTTTTTGCCACGGTAACCCGTGACAAATACGTTTACATGGGAAGGGGAGGGGTGGTGTCCATTTTCTCAACTTATCCTTAACAGTAGCAACGCTTTTAATAAGGTAACCTTGTCTAAAAAGTGTGAGAAGAGAAGAATTAAGAAACGGCGTTTGAAACGTATATGCTGAAAAGGACCCCCAAAAAGTCTTTTTAAAAGTAATAGAAACGCATTTGACACATTTACGATCAAGAATGTTAGTATTCATGCCGGAAGTATGTTGATCATTAGTCCCAAAATTATTCCGGTAAAATTTATCTAAGCCTATCGGTGACCTTCAAACGGTTTCAATTCAGGTATTTCAGATCTCAGTATTTTAACTGCTCGTCACACACAGTTCTGGATCTCGAGGGCTCTTTAGATCTTAGAACTGGAAAGTTAGCCTCCAAATGTTTCCAAGTATACTTAATTTAAAGTCGTTCTCGGTATTGTAGTTTTCGCCCGCACGCATACTCTGAATAATCATAATAATAATCATAATAATAATAGTAATAATAAAAATAATAATTTAATATTTATATTGCGCAAATTAACATGTGGATATGATCAAATGCGCATCACAACACTTTTCGGGGGACTTTGGCCGGACTGCATCAGCAGTTTACAAACAATCGAAGGAAACGTATTTGAAGATGCCCCCTCCCCCCAGTTCTCAGTAAACAGGGCAGACCACATCACAGTAATCTCGTGAGTGGGTTCTTTAACGTCCCCTGCCTAACCAAATTAACTAATTAATAGATGCAGGAGACGGAACCTACGGTTTATTCGTCCTTATCTGAGAAGAACAGAGTGTCTATCCATTTCTTGATACTATAGAAAGGTAGCGCATTCTCCTCAGTTATTTTAAGACCTTGAGTGTTGGTCCGGCCGGGGCTCGAATTATCGACCTCGACCTCCCACACAACAATCCAGCGCTCTAGCCAATTGAGCTAACCGAGAGGTGAAAATGTTAAATGGCTAATTTCATTGAAAATTATCGGGAAACGCATCATCTCTTCACTCCTTATAATTCCAAGAATTACCAAGACCTTTTTCTGCAGGATTGCTGATTTAAGCAACAAAATACTTCATGTAATATTTCGGTAAGGACGGGTGTCAATCAGCTACAATTTAAAAACCACTGAGGCGTCAGTGTATTATGAAGGACGATGGAGTTGTGGCGGTTTCGATCTCCACTGATGAAATCGCTTCCGTTGGAATGTGTTGCTGAATAAGTGAATACCGCTAAAAGTGTAATTAAATGGCATACTATGATCGCTAAAACCCGGTCTAACATTGTAGTGGATATCACTGTCAGGTTATATTCGTACGGCACCCGAACAAAATTATTTCTGAGATAGCGATCAAGATGGGAAAGGAATTAACTAGACTGAAATAAAGAGAGATTATTCAAATATAACTAATAGAAATTGATCTTTTCTTTCCCTGTAGCAGTGCAAGTGTTTCTGTCAGTTTTGTCAGTTCAAGTGATATTTTCCTGGGGCGGATCCTCTGGTTTTATGATCGATTTAATTTTGACTTCCAATCAAGGATAGTCTTTATTCGCAGCGATAGGGTCTAAAAGTACTTACGAGTGACCACGAGTGACCACGAGTGACTGAGAGGCCAGTCTCCAACTGTTTCTAGATATACTAGCTTTTAAATTCATTCTCAAAATTACAGTGTTCGCCCAAAAACATACTTATTACGCCCCTTACAATTGGAATGTTCTCTTTTCCTAGCATATGAGACAATCGCTCAGACTGGGTGTATATCATCCCCTCAGCGAAAAAAGTGACACGTATTTTGGGTATTAAAGGAAACGTCTTGCTATCTAATTTTTTAAATTAACTCAGCCCTTAACTAGTCTCCGAAACCGAAACAGTCATGATGGAAATATTTCAAGAATCAGCAAGAGTTTTTTTTTTCAAGGACTGCTGATTTGAGTAATCAAAAGGCTTCAACTAATATTGAGAATATAGGGACGGGTGTCAATCAACCACTATTCAAAAATTCCAGGCTTCAGTGTATTATGTAGGACAGAGTTGCAGGCGGTTTGGATTCTCTATTCCATATCCTCAAATCGCTTTCATACGAATTTGTTGCTAGATAAGTGGCGATCGCTTAACGTGCGAGAAATACCCGCACAAATGTAATAAAATGAAAAACTCTCATCTTTGAAGCCCGGTCTAACATTTCAATGGATGTCACTGTCAGGTTATCTTCGTACTGCACCCGAACTTAATGATTAGGCAAAATGCCCATTGTTCTCGAGACATTTACTTGTGGTAGCGAAAAAATTATAGATCTGTGCTATTAGTGTCGAAGCGTAAACTGGTTGATTTTCATCGGACGAGATCTTGCGCCCTCTCACCCCAGGGAATACTGCTCTAGCTCATTGACATGTTAGGAACTAGGGCGGAGTTAGGAAACAAAGGCCTCGCCAGTTATTGTTTGTGCTATTGTCTCGTTTTATCATACTTTGCCGGCGAGTTTTAAAACCTAGGTATTCTTCGATTTCAATATACGTCACAGGTTGATATACAAACGCTCTTGACCTCAGTCATGCTAAGCGACTAGGTCATTATCCCTACACAATGCCCGTTTTATGCCCTGTATTTTACTGCGGTCACTACGCTACCAGAGACAAAGAGTACAGATACTTTAGATTTCCTAAAGTAATCACATCTCAAGGGGAAAAAACGCAAGAACTGACCGAAAAGCGTAGAAAAAAGTGGATTGCCAATATATCACGTGCAGACTTGACAGAGGAAAAACTTCAACACACACGCGTCTGTAGTTATCATTTTATCACTGGTAAGTTGTTGTCAAGATTCGAAGAAAATTATACTATAGTTAATGTTTGGACGTTTAGTGAACATTTTGCTACAAGTCTGATAGTAAATGCTAGTTTAAGTTTCGCAATGTCGCACTCCACGTGCTATTTACAATAGAGAGGTCGCAACCAGTAAACAAATAATTTATTTTGACCAGGAAATCCATCAAGCCTTTATGATGTTGAGAATCCTGACTGGGCACCCTCTCTTAATATGGGCCATAATAAAGTGAAAACAGTGAAGACTCCAACGTCTAAAGATCGAGCTGAGCGTGTGACGCGCAGATGTAAGAGGCGCCAATCTTCCACGACAACACAAACAACTAAAATATCTAAAAATGGTAAGAAGCTTTAAATCTATTACAGTCTAAAAAGAACGCTCTTAAAGTATACCATACATTTGCCGTTTTAGATCAAGCACAGAATGTTGACCATTCTCATGAGCACGGCGTTCAAGAATCAAGTGTAGTACCAGATACAAATGTACCACCTGAAGTAATAGAGATACCATCGCCCGATCTACAGGAATCACAAACTGAATCTGCCACTGCTCTTTTCAGGGAATCCATAAATATTACAGAATTGTCAACAAAACTCAATGCGCAATGCCAGACAGACCTCAGTTCACAAGATATCAGCAACATGGAGGACTACATCATTACCACAACAGGCGAGATAGTTGACTTAAAGAAAAATGTAATTGAGTTGGAAACTAAAGTCCTACAGTCAGCGTTGACGAAGGAAAGTTTTACAAATAATGATGCCAAAACAAAGTTTTACACAGGTCTGCCAAATTTTGCAATAATGATGGCAGTTTTTAATCTAGTTGCTCCCTCTGTCATAGCAACATCAAGAAATTGTATACCAAAATTTTCAGAATACATATTAACTCTTATGCGTTTGCGTTTAAACCTGCCGTTACAAGATCTCGCATACAGATTTAAAGTCTCTCTTCCTACTGCTGGTAGGATCTTTGAAAAATGGGTTGATGCTATGAGTGATAAATTGGGATTCTTGATTTGGTGGCCTGAGCGCGAGGAACTAGGGAAAACAATGCCCAGAGTTTTCAAGAGAAATTTTGGAAATAGGGTTGCTGTGATAATAGACTGTTTTGAAGTTTTCATTGACAGACCATCTAGTTTAATTGCAAGAGCAATGACCTGGAGCAACTACAAACACCACAATACTGTGAAATTTTTAATTGGCATAACACCACAAGGTGTCATATCATTCATTTCCCAAGCTTGGGGTGGTAGAGTAAGTGACAAATATTTAACAGAGAACAGTGGGCTTCTCAAAAACTTGCTGCCTGGGGACATTGTACTGGCAGATCGTGGTTTTGATATCTCTGATAGTGTTGGCCTTTGTCAAGCATCCCTAAAAATTCCAGCCTTCACCAGGGGAAAAAATCAACTTTCAGCACTAGATGTTGAAGAAACAAGGAAGATTGCAAACGTTCGGATTCACGTAGAAAGGGTGATTGGTCTGGTACGAAGGAAATACACAATATTACAGACAATTCTACCTATTGAATTCGTGACCGCAAGACATGGGAAAGCTGAAGCCCCTATTGACAAAATTGCTCGTGTATGCTGTGCGCTTACTAATTTATCAGACTCAGTTATCCCCTTAGTGTAAATAACACATTTATCTAATTGCTTTTTATATAATTTGAATTTTTAAAATCTATATAAAAATAGTGAAGTTGTCCTTCTATTTAGTACTTATTCATTGGGAAATATAATTAGCAAACTGACAGCAATGTAAACATATCAACATTGTAAAAATCAGTATGAAACATTACAAAGAAACTGTTAGGGTTGGAATATTTGTAATTATTGCACCTGTTTGTGCACATTCCACTATATCTGTGAAATAGTATCATTACTAAATTGTGCAAATTTGAATAAGTTAATTATTTTCCATTGTTTGATCATGATCAGCACAATTTTGTATATAATTGTGCATTGTATTTCACAGACAAAATGAATGCATTTTTAAAAACATTAAAACATCCTTCTTCATAATGCAGCCTTAGAGTGCCATTTTCCTAATAGTTCTGGGAGAATTCCCTTTTTAAAAAAACTTGTTGCTTTGATTACTGTATTGTCCCAGAATACGGTGTCTGCAGTCACTCTTTCTATGTGTATACTGCTTTCGGTCCACACAATAAAATCGCAGTATGCTACTTCAGCAATATTGATCTGAGCTTGCACCTAAAAAAATGTACAACAAAACTGGTTAAATTTTTTGTATTAATTTGTATTTTAATTCAATGCTACTTGTTGCGATTGTTACAATCTTACCTGGTAAAAGTAGGCATGGTTCCTATCTAACTGGATTTTGCCATCATTCTCAATTAAGCAACTTTTCTTGTTGGATGCCAGAGTTTCTATTGATTCATTCTTGTGACAAAATGGACACTAACAATACATATCAAAATCAATACAAATATTTAGACATCAGAAATGCAGTTCTTCAAAGGCAACTTTGTGTATAACATTTAGAAAAAAAATGCTTGTAATGGGCATTCCTATTTTGTAAGAATCCTTTTCAAAAAGATTTAGGGCCTGTTTATACATGAGGTAGACTTAATATACCATACCTTCACTTCACACAATCCCTCTCCGCAACAGTCGCAAAGTACAACACCGTCAGGCGAAGCTCCAAGATGAGGCCATTTGGGATTAATGAGTAACCCACTGTCAGCCACTGTAAAGCTTTCATGATGTTCTGTCATTATCTTCACATAGTAATCTCTTGCCTTCTTCTCATGATTACATCCCCATCTGAAATGTACAGAAAAGAATTTGTAACTTAAAGCTGGAAAAAAAGACTTCATTTGAGAATAAATAGCCAATTGCATGACTGTAAATGGCACTATACTGCCTAAATGTATATTTTTGTTTTGTTTTCTAGATGATCATTAGTTTATTTATAAGAATTAATATACATAGTTGCTAACCTTGTTGCTAACCTTGTTGCTACAGAAGAAAACTGATGTGCCTCTGGGTAGCAGATTTGTTTTATTAGGCTTTTTGATGGGTTTGCAAAATTAGTGTGGCATGCTGATCTTAACCTGGAGGCAGTAATTCTTCCAGCTCGCTGCTCAAACCAGACTCTTGATTTGGATTGCTCCTTTGTATCTGATTCAATTGCCCTGCATTGTTTTTCTGTTAGACTGACCGAGGTATTTTCGGCCAAGACGAGTAACTCGGCCAGGGAGAGATTCTGGTTTTTCTGGCTTAAACAAAGAAGTAAGAGGTGGAGCAAGGTGGCACATCTCACTTGGTTTATACCCATCACTATATCCCGGGACTAAGGATAATATAGCTGGTTTTGTGCCTGCCATGGATAACTGATGAAACAAGTTAGCCATTTCTTCATCAGTAGCTTTGCTCGGTGGTCTGTCATTAGCTGGCATTCTCCTTGATGTTGTTGGAATTACATTTTGTGTCTGCAACATGTCAAACTTCTTTTTTGCTGAAGTAAAATCCATTTCATTCACAGGTATGTAAGGGATCTATAAGAAAACACTGGCAATAAGATTTGATTGGATGAATATTATATTTTTTAACTTCTTACAGGTTTATATTGGATTGGATGAATATTATATTTTTTAACTTCTTACAGGTTTATACCGTGAATGACAGAGGATGTCACCCAAAACCCAAACGAAAACCACAACATACAATAAGGTTATACTGCACTTACATCTTTAACATAAGCTGGCATTAACCACTTGCTTTTTTCTTGAGTACAAGTTGTCGATGATCGCATCCTTACTCCAGTTTCCAAAGCGAAAAGTGTCGCACCGACGTGAGAGCATGCTTCAGCCAAACTACACGGTTAGGAAAAGAAAAATCAGTCGAACAGTACTAATAGAAAACACCTAAACATGTGGCTCGAACTTGAGATTCTATCTGACAAAATTTCTAGTAAGCTGGTTTATATTTGTGTCAAGTATTCGTACTTACCCCGCCATACAACTGGAGTGAGCTGCGATTACGCTCACGTTAGTCTCAGAAAGAATCCAAACTGATAAAGGAGTTTCTCTCGCACGTTGCGAGTGTTTGACCTGCATTTAAAGAGTGCGATATTTACACTTCCGTTCAGTGAAATGTGCATGTAAATGTATGGCATTCACTTACCCGAGAGAAGATCAATACTTTGTCTGGCTGCACTTCTTTGGCCAGGATAGAATGAACCCAGCCTGACACAAAAAAGTTGTATGATTCCAACGATTTGTACGCCTTCATCTCCTCTTTTGTTCTCCACGAAGTTTGCACCAAGAGATAGTTCACAATATCTGGGTATTCGGCCGATGGCCAAAGCTTTTGTTAACTTAAACGGGTCGAAACCAATCATCCTAACTTTCTCCACGTATCGCTTCTTCGTAACTTCATCTAACGTCTCGCAATACGCTGAAAGCATTGGAGAATGCACTCCAGAGTCACTGTTCGACGCCATGTATACGCCATGTATACGCCATGTATACGCCATGTATACGCCATGTATACGCCATGTATACGCCATGTATACGCCATGTATACGCCATGTATATGCTGTTCGACGCTTTGTATATCAAGCAAGATGGCGCTGATCGGTTACGTCACAGATTTTTACCACGTGATTGAAAACGAAGAATTGAAAATGCTAAAGCCTACAACGGCCGTTTGCGTCCGACTCTCTGCCAAACCATTTCAAATCAATAAAGTTAACATTCTCGTCATTGAATACCCCTCGAGTTTTATAGTAGTTTAAGCATTATGACTATGAAGAAAATACTCATACATTGCGATTACTTCTGAGATAGCGATCAAGAACTAGAGATCATTCAAATACAGCTGAATCAGTTCACCTTTTCCTTTTTTTCGCTTTTACACATCGGACTGTTATCGGCATGTCACTGTCAGGTGATATTTGTACTGCACCCGAACTAAATTATTTCTGAGATGGCGATCACAATGAGAAAGGAATTTATTAGACTTAAAAAAACTAGAGATTATTCAAATACTACTTAATCAGTTCACTTTTTTTCGCTTTTACAAATGGAGCTGTCATCGTGTAGTAAAGTAACTTATGAGATTCATAAGGTCGTCGATTTGAGTTTCCATTTACTCTAAAGAGCAGTTATTTGGGATTCGTTCCAATCTAAATGCCGTCAATAAAATCAAGAAAGCTGTCGAAGCACCATGTAACAGTACAAGTGTTACCATCAGGTTCTTTATCGAGTTCAGGTGATGTCTCCCTAATGCTGTTATAAATTGCGATAGCGTACTTGCTGTGCGCTCTTTGTTAGTCCGCGATCTCAAGATCGCATATGCCGATGTGGTTATAGTTTCTAGTGATAGTCATATCCAGTGTATGGTTACAATCAGTAATCGCTTCTGGCAGTTCTACGTTCAATCAAACTTGGCTCTGGACAGTGCAAAGCTCCGTCAAAATTACCTTTCTTATATGCTTTTCACAAATCAAACGAGAAATACGATATTTTTTTATCGATTTCTCTCGCCTTGATGAAACCTGAAAAAAGTGCCAACTTTGTCCACATAAAAACCATTGTTTTCAGTCAAATTTAACCATCGGGATTCAGCAAACCAGAAAACCAGGCTTCCAGCTATGGCATAGAGCCGTACTGCGAGCGTTTCTAGTGCAGAGTTTCTTTCCAGACGTCAGCTTCTAGTCCTCGTTTGGCGGGTAACTGGGTGGAGAGTGCTAAAAACGTTGCTCGGATTTCGTTTTCACCTCGAAATACATAGGTAAGGATGGGCCTTAACGTTACCAAATATCAGTTAACTTTAATTTCCTACCTCAACCGGAACAAATAACATTGGTCGATAAGGCTTGAAGGAAGGTTTCTTTGATAAACAAGAAGTGGGACTCGTCATACAACTAGCTAAAATAAGACTCTTCGGTAGAAGTATTATATTGACAGATAATTCAAGATTTTCCTGGATTGGTGCATCAATAGGTAAAGGTGAAAATGTAGAATTTTATGATTTTTGTGTCACCATGAAGGATATGAACCCACCGGTTTTCAATTATCCCCCCCCCCTCCCCCTCATTCATCATCGACGACTGTTTTAAATAGCTACAGAAATTACTGAAGTCGACTGTGTATTAGAGATCATAGTCCACTTCAAAAGCCACTCCCCCCTCCGTGAGATGTTTTATTGCCGCCACTTTCGCTAGAATGGTTACAATCCCATCGATAAAATTGTCGTTGCAAACAATGAAAATAAAGCAACATTATCTAAGACTTAACAACGGAGTATCAGGTAAACTGAAGCTTTTCACACATTGTTCTATTAATTTGTGTCCATTTTCTCTTACGAGGGTCACTTTATTTTTCCATATCATATGAATATACTCAATGTATCCAACTGATTCTGCAAAAGACCTCACTTTCTATCGGTTACTAATGTAAAAACCCACGCAGGGTGCCAGTAAGAAGTCGTAATAAGGTTTATATCAGCGGTCAAAATTAAAGAAACCCTATGCACTTTGACTTTTTAGAATTTCTCAGCCTTTACTAGTCTTCAAAACTGAAACAGTCAATACGGACTATTTCTGAGAATCAGCGAGATGTTTTCGCCAGATTGCTAATTTAGGGTTACTGAAGGGTGCCCCCCGGAAAAATCGTTCCGTGCGTGTTT